ATTTACATTCTCGTGAATGCTAGGTACAATGGCGGCACCACCTTTCATCTTGCTCAACTTTTGAAACAACTAAGATAATTGTTCTTGGCTTATATTTATGGTGGTGACTAATACGTGTTTTAAAGTTTGCGGCCACGTTGGCAGGTGCCAAGCAGCACGCCCACCTCATCACCACCACCACCACCACCACACCTGCCATCCTTCCTCTGAGGATCGGCTTATCCTAGCTTGGGCATGTACATCTTGCCAAATGCTTAACTGACAACCGGCCGACTACTACTACATTAATTACCTGTTTGGTTGGTTGTCGTGCTATAATAAAATAAAAATTTCTTTGCTAAGTTTACAATGTGTGTTTACATACCATAATTTGATTGAAACAAAGAAAGCCACTAGCATACCGAGGCATTTCGGGCTAGGATTAACAGAAGAGAGAATTGCTAACGATATGTGCCTGCCATCTCTAGCAGACCTTTTCGTTATACAGTATGGTCGTTACTATCCTCTCTTCCAATATTTTGTTTCATCTAAAAAAAACTATTCATCTCAAATTGTCTTTTATAATTCGACATTTTCATTGAATTATCAGTGTTCACCAGTTTTCATGGAGCCATCATTAAAACCTCGCTAGTCCCTAGGTCGCGATATATTATTTTTGAAAAGATCTTACTGCATGCGAGAAGAAACTTAGTGTACTACCGCTGGCTGGTCTAGTCTGTAAATCGCAAATGGGTATCGTAAAAAATAAGGGGCAAAAATAAGGTTGACGTAAGGTCTTATGCCTAATAGATTATTCGCTCCACATTGTTTTAAAACTTATATTTACGAATACGCATTTTATAAAACAACTTTGAAAGCTTAGTCTGGTATTTATTACGCACCTCCATACCTCTCCTGCGGGCAGTAGTCAAAGTATTAGAGGCGCATCGTTAATGGATCCAGAGAGTTTCTTACAACGTTCATGGATATGACAGTTGGCCACAATACTCGTGCTGAATTTGATTGAATTATTTGTAACAAATTAGTCAAAATGGGAAGCAGTAAGTTTCCTTAGGTTAAAAAATGTGTACTTTTTCTCAGCATAATTGGTTGAGAAAGTGAGGTAAGCATTGAGCACGACTTGTGACGTCACACATCACACGTGATAGCCTGAATATCGGTTATTGTCAGTGCCTGGTTACTAGTGATGTCCTACGCTTGCTTCTTGCTGCACTTTACTGCAACTATTTTCTGCCTGCGTGGCTGGGCTCCCTTCCATTTTCACCCTAGTGGGTGGTTGTGGCAGCACTTCCGGGTAAGGTGCTGCAAGGTGACCTAATTATAGTTGCAAATAGCTAACCAAGCCAAATTCTGCGGGGGCGAGGGTGTGTGGCATTTTGCTGCTGCTGCTGCTGCTGCTGCTGCTGCTGCATTACCTAGTCTGTATCTCTGCCGGTAAACTGTGCCAACAGACGTGCATTATTGCTGTAAAACCTTCCACCATTAATATTGTTATTGCTGTTAAAGCCGCCGCCGCCATCATCATCAGTACAATTACTGAGGAGACCTTCACCATTATTAATGCTGTTATTCTTAAAGCGACCACCTCCACTATTAGTACTACTATCACAACACTTCTACAGATATTACTACATTGCTGTTAAAAAGTCCACCTTGCTATTACTGTTACCAACACCATCCTCCATATTCTTTATTACCTCCGCAACAACAATATCTGTTAATGCCATTTATTATTACCCATAACACCACTATTATTTTTATTGCTGCTAGTTTTCATGCCTTAAAACGAATAATGCTACCACCTATTATTGTTTGCTACTATCTAGCATCCTATTTGTTACCGATATTACTATGAATACCACCACCGATATTACTATTACTACGACCACCACCACCATGATCCACCACGTCTGGCTGGTCTCCAGAAGTCGAGCCTTGGGCTCGTCGCCAACAGCCATACCACCACCACCTGCTCTCCCAATACCTTGCGAAGTTTAAATTTCGGTATCTTGCATACCAAGAGATACATGGTCTTCTAGTGATAATATACCATAAAACAAATATCGAGTGTGAGCCAAAACACGTGTATTATTGCTTTGTTTCTTTAAACTCCAGTGGTTTTAGCTTGGATATATTTGCCGTTCAAGGGGCTTGGCTTTTCAAAAAACTTGCCATACCCCCCCCTTCCTAAGGCAGGTTCCTTGATGCTGGTGAGGGGCTCTTGATCTAGGGAATTGGATCTGTGCTCCAGTTCACTGAATCGAATCTGAATACCTTCCATTCCCCCCCCCCCACATGCGCTGTATAATCCTACGGATTTAGCGCTCTCCCATGACTATAATAATTATAATTGCCATACCCCTATATTTTCCCTTATTTCTGAACGACTTCTGGGGAACTTTTTTAGGGCAAGCTATGAATAGGAATCCTTAAGTATTATATCTAAGGTAAATAAATTCTTTTGTAATTAGTTCTTGCATTTCTTGTAATTAACTTGCATTTCTTGCTAGACTGAGTAGACTAACGTCGAAAATAGTAAAAGTAACTAATGACTTGTTTGTAAAAACACTGCATCATTACCAGATTGAAAATCTTGCAAGAGAATTGGAATGAAAGAAAATTGTAAGGTACTTTAACGACAGCACTAAACCCGTATACAAAACGTTTGAGAAAACACTAATAGATCATTATTCACAAGGTAGCACTAAACCCATAGAGGTCCTACAGTGTTTACGATATGGGAACTAATCCTGGTTGATGTGAGGAAGTGAGTCCTTCACCTGCATCAAGGTCATCACCTCTTTAACCTTGTAATGATTATTATTAACAATCTTGAGTACACAGCCCGGTCCCAGACCAGACTTCCTGGTGGATCAAGACCTGATCAAGGAGGCTGTTACTACTGGCCGCTCGTAGTCCACATGAACCATACCTCGGCTGGTCAGGAAAGATAAGTCAGAAGCAAATACTAAAATTTGATACGTGTGCAATGTTGGGAAGGAGATGGAATACCTGAATTCTGAGCGAATCGTCGGTTTCCTCTCATTAGAGCTGCCAAAAAAAGTGTTCATCAAGTTCCACAATTGATCCATTCATTAACAGCCTGTCCCCATCCTCCCTCGAAAAAAAAAATTACAAAGAGCTGCTGATGAGAATTTGGAACTTGTATGTATAGTTTAATCAATTGCACATTGTGGGTTTTAATCAAAAGCCTTTCCTTTTGTATTATTTATTTTCCCTCTGTCTTTTCCAATTCCAGGAGAATAACAGCAGCCGGCCCGAGTCCCCGCCTTTATAAACACAGCCAAGTTGCCATTTTTTGCATATCCGTATTCGGTAACCTAAAATTAACATTTTATTTACGACACGTTTTTGACTTTCATCAAGTCGAAACAAAAGCTGACGTCTAAGAGTACACCCATCACGGAGGATGGTCACACACACCTGTGGATTGTGCAGGCTAACTTGCGATAATAATATATTATCTTTATTTCTACAAGTACATGTACAAGGTATACAGGCCTTAGCTGACATCAGTGACATACTATTATATAGAAAGCCGCTTATTATGCAGAGCATTTCGGGCAAATTAGGTCAATTTTGCCTCAAGATGCGACCCTCACCAGTCGACTAACACCCAGGTACCCATTTTACTGATGGGTGAACATAGACAACCAGTGTAAGAAAACACGTCCAATGTTTCTACCCTTGCCGGTGTCGTGTTTACGTAGGAAGACGGTGAATCAGTAACGGTTGGTATGAGTCACATACTACTGACACTACTGGTAACTAATACTACTGATACCGGGAATCGAACCCGACCCTCAGCGTGTGAAGCGAGAGCTATTCTAAAGTTTCCTCTCTAAGTGTGGGGGGTTATTTGTGAACTGTTCCTGCTACAGTTTTGTGACTTTTATTTCATTAATTCTGTTTATAATATTTTAAAGCCAAACAAGTCGTGATATTTCTGGAAACGTGGAGACCGAAAATAATCAGGAAACTCTCAAATCTGTAACATTTTGACTCGAGGTACTATAATGGTTTTGCGCGATGAGGATGTTCTTGTCGTCTTAAACTGCTATGATCTTCTGGCTGCTGAATAACACCGATTTCGATAAATGGTTCAGAGAACCGACAAGTTGGTAAATTAGATACATGTACAACACTTGGGTATCTTTATTGAAGAAACGTTTCGCCACACAGTGGCTTCATTTTTGCAATACAAAGAAAAATGATAAAAATCAGGAGTTTGAGGTAATCAATCCCTCAGACTGGAGTCGATGCAATAGACTCCAGGCTGAGGGATTGATTACCTCAAACTCCTGATTTTTATCGTTTTTCTTTGTATTGCAAAAATGAAGCCACTGTGTGGCGAAACGTTTCTTCAATAAAGTTACCCAAGTGTTGCACATGTCTAATTTACCAATACCCATTTCCTTCCTTGCCTCAGGGTTGATCTCACACAGGGTTGTAGGAGTCTATCAAAATTCTAGTGACTAGGAATATGATCTTAATTACACAAAACCTGCACATAGAAACGTCATCATAGTTTCTTTATCCCTTGTGTGTATTATTTGTGTATTCCAGTCATGGTATTGTGCCATTGTGTTCTTTATGATCTTAAATAAAGATTATTTTAATCTTTATGTGCGTCACATTTCGAATACCGGCAACTATTCATATTTGACAAATAACAGAAAAAAAATTACATGGAGAATAAATACGTAGCAGCGAGAAGCAGACCCATCAGGATGCTAGGTCCCTTTGCTAGAAATTTATAACGTAAAGCTCAATAATACTGCCATAACACACTGATCACACAGCACTTTGGCTTGCGCACACCTGGTCCCAAAATTTAGACGTGAAACTAAACTGCAGTATGCACAGAAAATAAACTAAACTAATATGTTTATTATGCACCTCTGAGTTAACTTTTATAGTAGTTTCTTTTGTCAGTGAAGAGGCAGGTGAAGGTTGATGCTCTATTTTTTCTTGTACAGGTGAACGGCGGTTCTGTGGCGGCTACGGCAGGGCTCCAGGCAGGAGACGCCATCGTCAGCATTAATGGGAAGGATGCTCTTTCTCTCAGGCACAAAGAGGCACAAGAGGCCATCGTCAAAGCTGGAAATCATTTTGACCTCGTCGTTCAGAGGTGAGTATCTGAGACTATTTCCTGGGAAGAGTGGAAACAAACTAGTGTGCAGTTACATGTTAGAGAAGGGGGGACATTATTGTTATTGTCATTTGTAGACAGCGTGAGTAGAATCAACGGGAGCGCTGTGTGGTGTGTTTTGGAATTATGGAACGGCTGTTTTTTTTTACTGCATGTCAACGTGGGAAATTACATATTCTAATCAGGAGTTCTGCTGCATGTACCCCTGCACTTGAATATAACTCAATCAGCTTACTGTTAGTGATAAATGTGTACGCTTCCCCCTTCCTTTTCTTTTACACGACACGATGCCAACGAAATCCTAGAAATAATTGTACTAGTCAGGGACGAAAAGGGGAAATAAATTATATATATTTATTTATTTATTTATCCTCCTCCAAGTCATTAGTGACAATCAATAATAACTGCTTGGATGGAAGCTCAACAAGTCAGCGGGCATTGATGAGTAGATTTCAAGGGTTCTAAAGAAATATAAGGAGGAACTTACCAAACTAAATGAACGTCGTACCAAATAAGTGAAAATTGGCAAATGCGATACCCATTTAGAATTCAGGAGATAAGTTCTTAGCTTCAAATTATAGACTAGTCAGCGTAATTGTGAGAAAGTTGGAGTGAGTAGTTACTGATGCAGTTCGAAGCCACTTTGAAAGGTATAATTTATTCGGTGAATCTCGTCAGTTTTGCAAAGGGGCGTTCTTGCCTTACGAATTTATTAACTTTTATTGTTTTTCTTCTAACGCATCCGAGGCGGTAGACCAAGACAAAGAATACGAGAGTGTATATGGACTTCAGTAAGGCTTTAATAAAATTTACACAAGAGTGATTAAAAAAGTAGGGGCACATATTATAGGGGGAGGAATCTGGGTCGAGATATGGATAACTGATAAGCAACAAATAGCCTGAATTAATGAAGAGAAATCAGAATGGGGACCCATTAAAAAGTGATGTGCCAGAGGGGTCAGGATTAGGATACTTGTTAACAATCCCTAAGGACACTAAAAAGCTACAGAATGAACTGGATAGGTTGATGTGGTTGTAAACTAAATAATGTAGAGCTAAGTCAATGAATGTGAAAAAAATTAGGAGTTCTAGTTAACAAATTTAAAGCCAAGACAAAAATTTAAAAGTGCTCACAACAAATCACATAGAATTTTTGGCTTCATATCAAGAAGTATGAAATACTAAGGTTATACTTAAACTTTATATACGTTTGGTTAAACGTTTAGATTATGTTGCTCAGTTCTGGTTTCCATATTACAGGATGGGCTTAAATGTGCTGGAAAATATAAAGAGAACGATGATGTTTCTCTGTACTAAAAACCTTTCCTATGAAAGTAAGCTGAAGGCATGAGTTAACACACACTGCAAACATTTAGGATTATGCGGGGGAATATTACTGCAGTGTACGTATGCAAAACACGAATATATAAAGGAGATAAAAGAGTGCTTAAAATCTCTAACAGACAGGACTCTCAGTAATGGATTAAAGTTGCACAATTTTAGATTTAGAATGAATATAGGGAAATACTGCATTAAGGCAAGAACTTTGGGTAGCTCTGAGTAAAAGTTGGACGGGTACATTAGTTTGTGTGGGTGGGTGAGAGTTGAACCTGCTAGCGTGGGCCGATATGCCTACTGCAGTGTTTCTTCTTGTGTTATGTTATCTGATTAGGTTCTAAAGATGGTGATATTTTCATAAAATCTCATGACGCGAGTCTTGGTCATATATGACCACTCCACTCACTGGCTGAGCACAGTTGCTGACATATTAGTGCCAGGTTTCCACGTCAAACTGGGTCACTGTCACTCCCGAAATAAGTCACAGGTATGATGATTTTGTAGGATTGCACATGTTTACTGACGAAAAGTATGACAGAATCCTAGAGCCTCGAGTTCTGGAATTCGGGATAACCCAACAGAGATGTTTGACAATTAAATCCTCTTACATAAAGATGCAAGTATTTCTCTAGTTTCAGGGTCGTTTAAGAAGTGGAATAACTTGGATGAAGAATTGGTGGAGAAAAATTAAATGTACAGCTTCAAGACTAAGTTTGATTAAGTTAAAAAAAAACAGAAATCGATGATGCTGATCAAAGTAGTCTAGAAGGCAGGGCCAAGAACAGTCTCGAACCCTGCAAACACACATGCATGCACTCATGTGCATACGCACTGGCACATGCATGCACTCATGTGCATACGCACTGGCACATGCATGCATATGCACTCACCAACAGCCTATTAAAATAACCTGCTGGTTCCACAGAGATTGATAGGATCCTACAACACGTGCCCCCACGGTACTACTGTTGTCTACCTGGACTGGGACAGAGCAGTAACTGAGAAGAAACAGCTGAGGGAGTAAGTGAAAAACCATCAGGCACGGAGAAGAGAAGAGGGTCAGGAGGGAGCACCCAACCTCGAGGAACCCCTCCTCCAGATTCAACCACAACCCCTTTTCCAGTGGTGCCCAACTCTGGGTCAGCCCCCACTTCCCCAGCACCAACACAAACCCTTTCCCCTTCTCCCCGCACACTTCCCCTTCCTGTCTACAACCTTATCCCTGACCCCTTTCCAGGTAGTAATGCATACACCAACCCCAGCTCTTCCTCCCCCTCTCCTCTTGCATGAGCAAAATGCTAAAAGAAGAGGAAGCAAAACAAACCAGTGTATGGTAAAGGAAAGTAAACTCGGTTTATGATGCACAAGTGAAGATGCATAATCAAACAAGAATGATGAGATGACAGAACAAATTGCTGAGGTAACCTCAGATATTATAGCTGTCGCTGAGAGAAAGCTGAGCAAAATGATATCGGATGCAGTATTTCCAGCGGGATATAGTGATAAGGAAAAAGAGGTGGAGGAGTGACACCGGTAATCAGGAATTAGTGGAGCTTTAATGAGGTGAGAAGGGAAAAAGAGGCACAAAATTTCATATGGGGCTTAGTTAAGAGGGGGGAACCCAAAGTAGTAGTTTATGGTATACAGCCCATTACTTAAAAAGTCACTTAATATGAGATTATAGCAGGAATATGAAAACAACAGTGATGGTTGACGCAGCAGAACTCGTGAAATCGTAATAACGTGATGGAGGTTTTGTGAAGGGACTTGAGCAGAAGCACACACAATCATGTTCAAGTTCCATAACAAAATAACAAATGCGAGATAGGAGAGAGGGATGGATGGACTGCATTTTCTTAAGACTGCAAAGAAGCATTTGACACTACCCCGCAAGAGGCTGGGGCAGGAACTTAATGTGCAGGCAAGAATAACAAGGAACGAACACCAGTGGATTAAGATTTCCTTAGAGAAGGGAAACACTGTATCAAGGAAGTTGAGGCACTGGAGCTAGGAGCTTGGGATCGACCCTTGCAACTACTTATAGGCGAGTGTACATATGCACGCACATGCACACACTGAAGCTTGAGGTTTAAACGTTTGATTACTCTAATACACACAGTAAAGGGTGAGACGAGAAGCTTCACAGTTGTGCTATAATTTACTTAAGACAATAAGAGGAGGACAGCTGTGCAGAGCTCTTGAGGAGTCTTACCAGGTGTTGAGCAGTATCAAGTGGGGACGACAACACTGATATAACACCACGTATGGTAAAACCCATGGACACACTGCTGTTGTATAAGACTTGAAAAAGTTGTATTATTTTAGTCTGTTTTCACTTATTAAAATGACTGGTCGAATCGCTTAATTTTTCTCAGACTTGAAAAAGGCTTAATAGAACTAAACATAATTGCATTTCATAGAGCTGTATTATATATATATAATATATATATATTAATATATTATATATATATATATATATATATATATATAAAACCTTGATTTAATCTCGAAATACTACAGTAAGTTACTCGAGAACCTGCAATATGTATAAAAAGGAAAGAAAACTGCATTTATGATTTTTGGTGCTTGGTATTTATATTACCATCCTGCCTGTCTGCACACTTTAAGGCAGTGAGGTGTTCACACGTGACTGATTTGAATTAACGAGCAGGTGCACCTAATAGCGGCCTATATCTGTGTGCGCGCGCGTACGTATATATCGATATTGTATATCCCTCGAGGGAGGTTTCTTGATGCTGGTGAAGGGCTCTTGATATAAGGTATGGAACCTTCTCTTCCCTTCCTTGGATCGCACCTGATTACATCCCATTCCCCCAGGCACTGTATGACACCCCTGTGGGTTTAGCGTTACTTCCCCCTTGAATGTAATAATAAGTATGGTACAACAGTTTTAGCTGGTGCTGTTTAGACGAAGAACTTGTAGTGTAGTTTAAAAAGATGATGACACAAGCGAGTTATTTTTTATAAACTTGGGAATAACATCGTAAGAGTTTAAAAACTCCAAGACCTCAGTGTTATCTATGTTCAGTGTCCTGAGAGCTTCCTCAGGAAACGTCACACACACACACACACACACAACACACACACTCGTCATTGGTCGTAATTGTAAGGTTAAGGTAAAGGATCGTCGCTTTTAGTGTATTACCACATCACAAGTCTGTTCAGTTGTTGACGCTGTCTGGCTGTGTTCTTTTATTTCTGACTGTTCACCTTTACACATTCTGAAAGTTATTGAAAGATTTATTTCATTATATATATATATATATATATATAAATATATATAATATATATATATATATATATTATATATATATATATATATATATATATATATATATATATATATATATGCAATAAGATCACAGTAAACAGGTGATTTCATAATATGCAAAACAACCACTGTGAAAGAATAGAGAAGTTCCAAGCGCTTTCGTGACTACTCACATTATCTTTGTTAGTTTAATATGTTTATTATGCACCCCATACCCATCCTGTGGGCGGTAGTCAAAAGATTACAGAGGTACATAATTGGTCCAGGGACTGGGCCCCAAAGTTTTGATAGCTGAGCAAGTTACAGAGGTAATGAATTCACAATTTACAAAGGTAATGAACTCACAAAT